CCCCAAAACCCCAAAACCCCAAAACCCCAAAACCCCTTTCTCTTAAGAGGTATTGAAATATTCAGGATTACGTTTGCAGACGCATACTCGTCGGTATACACTAAACAGGAATTTGATAATTAATAAGTATGTGCACAGTAAGAAATACGACCAGTTTTGGATGAGAAGTCAGTGGGGATTAGTAAGGGGTTAAGAGAGGGTGCGTGAGGGGTAGGATTTTGGGGGAATTATGGGGTGAGTGGGGTTATTAGGTTTGGTGGTGGGGTGATGGATGGGGAGGTGGGGTAGTTAAGGCTTCCTTTTGGGCGGATTTTGGACCGAGCAGTCTTGGTTTTGAGATAGAGGAAATTCCCTGCTTCTTATAATATATTTCGGTTTGATCAGAAATCGGTATCAGAATTATTATATATTTTTAAAAAGTTAAGATGGAACGGAAAAGCTTAGAATTAATATTTTTATGAATTCTGTGAAAGAGGAGTCTTGACGCTTAATGCATGTTTTCTGTTATTGAGTTTGAATTCATTAAGAAGACTGTCCTGCTCTTAGAAGGTCTATTTTTGTTGGGACAATCATGCTTCGGTTGCTGATTTAGAAGTTATGATAACACTCGATCTCTTATGATTAATGCCTTCGAGAGATTTTTCATTAGGTAAATCTGCTAAAGTATTTTTCTTGTATGATTTAAACGCCGATTTTCTGCCTGGAGTTATTTTTAAATAATTATTACTCTCCATGAGCAAATTTTTCTTGAAGTCTTTTTTAAATTACCCTTTTCTTAGGCTTGACTATCCCTTCTTCCTTCTGACATTTAGGTTTTTTCTCTATTAGCTCTTCAAGAGTGGTATTACTACTAATCTCTAAAAAGGAGGGAAGAATAGCTCCTCGCCCTTTACTGCTAAACTCATTTGCAATGCCAGGAATTAAGGTCTCTAGTTGGTTATTTTTGTAAAGAGTTCTCTGATTCATCTACTTTGGTATAATTTTTACAGGTGTGTTCTCTTCTTACTACTTTCCCTTTATTTGTGGCACTTCTTGACCCATATATCCTTAGAATCTGTAGTATAAATATTCTCTAGGAAAGAATCTTTGTCATTAAATTCTGAACATTGCTGAGCAACCAGCGTTGAGGTTTTCTTTTTAGCTGCTTTTATCTTTGGATAGTTATGACTCATATTGGCTAATTTATAGTAAAAATTATTGTGAGAATATTCCAACAATAATGCAGAGAGTCGGGGTTTTGGGGTTTTGGGGTTTTGGGGTTTTGGGG